AGGATGCTTCCAGCATCTGTCATTAGGGTTGACAACCTTCATGAAGCAATTATTTTCCTCTGCAGGCTACTGGGGAGTCACCTCTAAGGAGCAGCATGTTATCCCACATGATCCAAGTTAGCTGGTAAGACTGACCTGAAACCGTTCAGGTTAATCTTCTTCAGAGTAATCCCCTTCAAGGTCCTCATGCTCTGGCCTGTCCGTCTGCGCCCACGTGCTGGTGCCTAAACTGGACTGCGGCAGAGGCGAGTGGGAGGGAGCGTGAGAAATCAGCTAGTCTGCTGCCAAGACAGGGCTGGGTGCTGCCAAGCTAGTCCTGACAGGCAGCTGTCTCACCTATTTTTAGCAATTTGCTGGCGATGGAGAGAGCAGTGATGGAATAAATCCTCCCTGGCAGCTGATTCCAGTGTTCCCCTGTCCTTAACATTAGACGTTTTCTGTGTATGTATACGTATATATGTGCAGGCTTCTCCTTCTTTCCATGGTGTATAAGTCTCTTCCCTTATGATGTCCTTAAGCACGTCCTGTGTCTTGTTCTGTCCTCGCTGGACCAAGAAAACAGTGGTTTATATATATATTACAGTTATCTCATGTTCCTGTTTTCCATCTTTTCTTATAGCAATCTGACTTACTTAGGTCAGTTTTTCCCACAGTGTGTTCTGGACCCTTAACCATTCCTGCTGCTCCCTGTGAGATCTTCTCCGGTTGGTCCAGCTCTTCCTTGGAGTGCACCGTCAGTAGATGAAGGTGCTTTCTGCAGGGACGTTCCTGCTGCTGCCTGGGGTGGAAGGAAGGACGTGCACATCTCACAGACCATGCTGCGGTCTCCTTATGTTCTTGGACCTATTTTAGGCTATGGCTGGTATCCAGAGCTGTCTTTTCAATCTAATTGTTCACATTCATCTCTGGAATCTGTCTTAATTTTGGTGTGTTCATTGCAGTTCTTGCCACAAATTCATTGTGCTAATTTACGTCAGTGTCAAGTACTGTGAAAGATGAGGAAGGAAGCAAACTAGTAAAAAGTCCTGTGAGTGGGATGACATCCTGAAAAATTGGGCTAATTTCTGGTTAATTTCTTATTAAAGTTTCAGCTAACAAATTTAGTTGCTGGACATGGTTGAGCTGAGGATGAGACAGAGCTCCTCACTTAAAGTACTCCCCATCCCTGGAGGTGCCTATTTTTATGAACATTGTGTCCAAGCTTGCTTTTGCATTTCAGTATGAAAGCCTGAAGTTTTAAGTGGCTTTTAAACCTCACTTGGATGTCTCCAGATGTTTACATGCAAGGAGAGTGGCAACTCTATTCATCTGAAGAACGCATCTGTCAGGCAGGATTCCTCTCTCCTGCTTTTTGTTTGGTGGCAAGGTCTTTGCTGACTCCTGAGTGCCCAACTACTTGTTAGATCTCCTACATTTCCTTTTGAGACTAAATAGCATCTGATTGCTAAGTACTTTTCTACTGTCTTCAGGATTAGAATAACTGAGCACTGTTATCTCTGGCATGAAGCTTTGTTCTTTTAGTACACTGTTCTGCTTCTGTCTCTCAAAGAAGAAGAAAAATACTTTTAAGTGAGGGATTGTGATTTCTTTAATTGGAAAACCTGCAACTGCAGACTATCCTGCCAATGCCTGGTATGAGTCCTGGAATCCTTTGTGGATATATGTCCTATGGTTGCATGCATTTGGATTTCTCAAAGAATGATTTGCTAAGTGGGAATTTAGCATTGAGTAGTCCTTTGTGGTAGCTAGGTGGTTTTCTTTGGGGATGATGAACCTAATCTTACGCTTGATTGTTGGCTTTCTCCAAGGATTAAAAGAAGAGGTTACTAAGTAGGTGGGAAATATAGTCTTTGCCTCATTCAATTCACTTGGGGGGGGGGGGAAACCTGAAGAGACTGGGAGGGTTGAATCCTGGCAGCTAGGATCCGGGGCAGGCATGCTCCATGGAGAGAGGCTGGCAGCTGGTCTTGGCACACAGCGAAGGGAATCTTTGTATTTTCATTTCCCTTTTGTGCAGAAGCTGTAGCAACAGGCATGCCATTGGAAAGTCAGTCTCATCAAAAAAGGAGGTGGAGAGTCTTTGCTTGCTGATGGCAGTCCAGCAGGGTAGATGTTTCTGGAGCTATGGGGTTTTTCCAGCCATACTCTGACATCTGCATTGAAAGACTCCTTTATGTGGGCGCAGTATGGAAGTTGCAGGTGTTGGAAGCCAAGAATTTCAACAGAGGATGGTTGTGCAGGATGTAAAATACACAGAATAGTAGGTGTACATAGAGAGTGGATCATTCAGTGGTTAATTCAGTGAGTAGTTTGGACTGTGGCCTGGAAGTGAGGAGTAGCAGGTACTGTTTAAAACCTTGCTTGAGAAGTAGACAACAAGTTCTGCTTTTATTCTTATAGCCCATTTTGCTTGTATGCTGGGAAGGTGATCTAACTATAGAGCAGAGTTAACTATCTAGATAAACTAGAGGGGGGAAAAAAGCTGACTGTATTCAAACAGCCTATGTCTGTATCGCTGTAGCCAACTGGCTTGACAGCATGATGGATTGAAGGAATGCGTAGGATTTGCTGAAAATGTTTGATTTTGAATTTCATCTATCCCTTCCCTGGTTTGCTAGCTGTCAGTCAAGCATTACAAGAGCAAATCTTCACTGACACAGCTATTCTCTGGCATGTTTCATACAGACTAGCTTGGTTGTGTAGATAAGCAATCAATTTTCTACTGCTTTTCTGTCTCTGGGACCTTTTCCCAAGAGATTCTCTCAGAGCCACTTAAGACTGGTGTCCTGCCTACACAAAGGGCTTTCCTTGTCAGCGCTGCTGTTGTAGCCTCAGCTGGCAACAGCTTATTCTAGCAAACTGAGTATCAGCCAAAACCACAACTCTGCAAGGATGTGCCAGTGCTGATTAAACTTTCAGGAAAGGCTTCAGGAGAGGTCTCAGCATGGACTTCATGCTCCAAGAGACAGATCAGCTGCCTGGCTCTTCTGGGGAGATAATTTCCCTATCTTAAGATGCTCACAGAGGACTTGGGTTTGGATCCTGTCTTGGAAAGCTTGTTTCAGTGGAAGTCTTAAAGATGGTGGTTTGCTGTAAGACTTAAGAAAATATATTGGCAGATGAAGGCTCAGGACCTTTTCAGAAAGGAAGGGCTGGCACGTTAGACTCCATTTTGCATGAAAAGGCTTTGAGAATACTGCTCTTCACCAAGCATTTGTGTATTTTATTAAATCAAACCCTTGCGATGGAGTTGTATTCTGTCCCAGCGTAGACTAGAAACCTCTGAACTGCTTTAACCTAGCCGTAGTGCCGTGGGTTATCGCATTTCAAAGCAATGCTGGGAACTTGGTGGTGGTGGTTCAAGTGCTTTTGGTAGTTTGCTGAAGTAGTTATCACAATATGCTCAAAAGTTAATTTGCTTTTGTCATGATTCACTCTATTCTTAAGTATGCTCTTTGGGAGTTTATTCTAGAATAATAAAGTTTTTGCTTCCCACTGGTACTGTGGAAGGATTTGAGTTCTTTAGCCCTTCCCCATTTATCTTGTACGGTGACTGTTAGCGAATTATTGGATGTTGGTAAGGAGTGAGTTGTCTTTTATTTTGGTAGCATTTAAATTAATTGAAGGAGCACCTACCCTCATTTTCTCTTTGGAAGATGATGTGCTGAAATTGCTGCAAAGCTGTGTATTGCTGGGGAGACAGGCACAGACTCTTCTCTGTTAGTTTTACATACCACATCTGTTTTCCAGGAAACTGGTAGGATGAAATATGTGTAGTCTTTTGCTTAGAGCTTGGGAGACTTCAAAAATCTTGGTTTGTTTTTGTTTTTCTCCCAAGGCAGCCTTTCTTGAATAAACTCATGCAGCTGTAAATGACTGTGTTCACAGTTACAGGGAGTACCAAAGTACCAGCCTTCATCTGAAGGCTGCTGGCTAATGAGCGGCATCTAACTGTGTGTGAGCCCTGTACCCTGTGATTAGTCCAAAATAAATCACCAGGAATGCCAAGTAAAGACGGCTTCACTTAAGTTGCAGGTAGGCTAGGATGTTTGCCTGAGCTGTTTGAGTCCTTTAGAAAGAGAAATAACGTCATCAAACCGTTCGCTTTGTTGCTTGTGACTTGTTAACGTATCCTTAGAGATTATAATTGCACTGATGTTAATGTGGTGTGAGCTCTGTCTGTTTATAAACCGCTTTACAAGTAAAGCGTAGGAAAGCCATAGCATTGTTTGGCTTATGGATTTATCCTGCTTTCTATTTAACCACCCTATAGCCATTTGCAATTCTGCGAGTTGCTCATGGCTTAGACTGAGCGATTTTGAGTATTGAGTCTTGGTCTACAAACAGGGTCACTGAAGATCTTTGTATTTGAACAGCAAGGGATGGGAGTCTTTTGCTCTGCCAGAGCTGTATTTCCAGCTTGAGGGTAAACAGCTCCAGTTTTCGTTGTCACAAATCCTGTAGTACTTGAGTTTAGAAGTCATTGGTGGAAGAGGGAAATAAAACAGCCTGTCACCTGGTGGAGATAGAAAATAAATCAGTTGAGCTGAAACAAAGAGGCTATTCTTTCCAAATCCTGCAGTGCTGATGGTAAAACACATTTCTATCACTTTTATGTAAATCTTTTTTGGGGGAGCGGGAGTGGAATTTAGCTTTAGAGGAGGTATGGTATGCTCTTCCCATCTTTCTTGTATGTGTAGTTTTTGGGAGAGGGTACGATAATTCATTGAGTGATTTGCTCTGGTGTTCTTGGACTGGGAAAACTTACTGTGATTATTAGTTTGGGTTTCGGGGGGGGTGGGGGTGGAAATTTGATTACAGCAGGGAAAAGCACACAGTATTCCAAGGAGACTGATCACTTCTTTGCTTTTGCTTTGCAATCTTCCACGCTGAACTGGAACAAGTGTTTCATTCAGGGAGACCGTTGCAGGGCCATCTTTGTAGCCTTAGCACCCCTCTCAGTAATTTCCTAAACCGGTGTTTTCTTTTCCCTTGTACAGGGCCTATGCAGAAGACTCGTCCTCTGTAAAACACGGTCCGAGGACAGAGCCGAGCGAGAAGGTGAAGCACGAGGAGGAGGAGGAGAGCAGTGGCAGCGAGGGTAGAAAGGCCGTCGCATCGGGTGATGAGGAGGCTCAGCCGGAAGGGAAGAAGAAGAAGTGTTCCGGGTTCAGGGACCGTAAGGTACCAAACTTGGGCATGTTATACCTGCAGCTGTTGCACTGCAGTGGAAAAAGGGAGAAAACTTGCAGAACGTTTTATTCAGATTGTGGTACAGCACGCGTATAGAGTCTGGCTTTTGCTCTGTACTTGTGCTTGTTTTCTAAGGGGCCTTACTGTTTTGGGAACCTACTTGGTTGGCATGCTACCTTGAGTTTCTTTAGGTTGAAACTTGTTTATTTAGAAAGCACGGTACGCTGATCCTCTGAAATGGAGACCTCTTTTCCCATCTTGAGTTGGATATCTGAGAAGTGGCTCACTGAGAAATCAAGGCTCCTGCCTTAATGGCTGTTAGGATGGTGCATGCGAAGTAGGGAATCGGTGCAAAAGCTTTAAAACCATCTAGGGCATCCAGCATGTGTGTGTCTGAGTCCGTCTGTTTGCCTGTGAACATACACAGTGTATGTAGGAAGAAGTAGAGGATGAGTGTGGAAGGGAGGGTTATAGGAAAGGCATACTTTAATTTTTCCTTTAATTATTCCATGTAAATGTGGTTGTTGGAATACAGCCTCACTCCCTATTCATGGTTAGTTGTGTCTCTTGATGCTTATGCCTATTTAATTTTCATATCAGACACATTTTCAAGAGGAGGAAAGCTTGAATAATGAACTATATTGTCAACTTGTGACCTTCCTTCACTGTTGGGAAATCCTGAGAGCTTTGGGCTCCTCAGAACTGTCTGACAACTAGTTTGGTACTATCTGTAACCACTGTTACTACAAGATGTGTGATTTGGTCTGATGGAGGGTCCTCTAACTGAGAGTTGGCAGACAGCAGTATTTTATTTTTTTAAACCTGTCTGCATGTCTGTTTTATTGGGCTGTGTTTGATGATTAAGTATCTTTGCAGTGCCAAAGAGGAGAATGGGAGTATATGCTCTTCACAATTTCTTTCTGTATGATTTGCTTCTGATAATTATTTTTAAGTCCATATCCTGGAGGCTGCATCTCATTAGCTGTTAAATTGCGGATGGTCGTATATAGTAGCTTAGTAGCTTTTCATGAAAAATTAAGAGCTGTTTCGTTTGAAGTTGCTGAATCACATTCTGTTCTTGGTTAGAGTAGATTACACAACTTGAAATTTCAAGTGCCTTGTGGTATTTGGGGCTCCAAACTCTCCCTGTTGTGACATGCTGATGGCAGCTCAGTGAAGTTACGTTGTAAGATACTATGCTGAGATATTCAGAATTGTCCAGGAATATGGGTTCTTGGCTTCTGCTAATTTTCTTGGCAACAGTGTCAGGTACTCTGACAGTTTCAGCAGAACTTCGACTCTTGCCAGTACCACTCAAGAAAAGCGGGTTATTTTTTCCAGTGTCAGCAGATGGAGGCAGGTTGCAAAGAGCAGAGAAATGATCCAACTTAATCCACACTCTTATTTTTAAAAAAGAACATTTGTTGACACGGTGAATGTAATGATTGATTTTTGTCTTATGTGGCTGGCTGTTTCTGGCTAGGGAAGCCAGAGAATGTTTGTTTGCAAGCGAGGACTTTTATTCCAGTTGTTAGGAGACATGCCTACATTGACCAGCTCTTTCCTTCCCATACTAGGCAGGGAGGAATGTGGCCACGCTTTCTAAATAAGACGCGAGCCAGGCGTAGGGGGTGCCCGAGAGGTCCGGTGGGAACGATGGGCAGCGTGGATCCCTTCTCAGTCCACAGCCTGCCTTCCTCCTACAGTGCTGGTCAGGAGCAGCAATTTCAACGGGGAGAGCACTGTTTAAAACAGACCTCTCAATCTTTTTGACAACATAAGCCCTTTTCACTCCAGCCTTAAGAAGGAATGTACCTTCTGTGACCTGAATGCCAGTGGTGCTTTTGTTCTGTTTAATGCAGGGTGTAACTGGTAGTATCCCAGGTACCCGGTTCCGTGTTTACGTTTGAGCGGGCTCTGTTGTAGGTTTGGTGTTTGATCAGCAGTTGCCCTAGTGAGTCATCTCAGGAGATATGTTTGAATGTTTCCAGCTCAGATGACAGAGGAAGGTGTGCCCCAGCTCCTGACTCAAAATCAGGGCTGCTCACAGGATGTGCTGCTCCCCTAATCAGTTGTGTAGCACCTAGGGAATTCCTGACTCTTCTAGATGTTTTTAAAAAAAACAAACAAAACCCATAGTAAAACCCCTTTCCAACTCTTCCCATAATTAATTGAAAATAGTGTGGGGTTTTCCTTGAGAAAAAAAATTAAGCTTAATTGAAAGTGTTTAACACTTGTTTGTTATCTCAATGTTGCTTTTAATGAAGTTGATGATTAGTGGTGAAATAATAAATTAGGCATGACATTGCTATTTTGGGTAGTGATTCAGTGAAGAGGAAGTTGAGATATAAATCACTTGGCATCTGCTGGGGCTGAGATCATGTGTGGCTGGTTCCAGGGCATGTGTTGTCTTGCAGCCCATGCAATGTAAAGGTCCTGACTGCATAAGGGAGGAAAGGAAAAGATTGTTTGAGTGCTTTTATAGTTTGAAGGCTAATGAGCGGTAATACATGTTGTGAGTGGGCTGACATGTCAATTAATTTGCTAAAAGAGTTTGCATGCAGTGTTAGGACTGCTTTATCAAGATCCGCTTGCAGTGTTTGCGGGGTCCTGCAGGTATGCTGCCTTAGGAGTGTTAGTGGTGCTACAACTTCATTCTAGTGTGCATTACAGTAGGAAACCCAAAGAAAATGAATCCCAATTAATTTACCCTGCTAAGATGTGTGCGGTGGAGCTGGACTGCCAGAGTTCCTGTTCTGCTGCACCGTCAGGGGGGCCCCGGTGATGCTGTGGAAGTGAACTGAGGTATTAATTTAGAGCTTTATTTTCATGTCTGCACAGGATTTAACTTTTTTCCTTTTAACCTGAGGCTTAGCATAAACATTGACTGTCTCAACAGCAGCTTTGCTCTTGTAGAGCAGTAGGGATTTTGCTCATCTTTTTCCTCCAGTACCTACTCTATCAATAAATGCCAAAAAGGGACACTTCCCTTTTGGTCACATAATACCTTTCTGGAGGCCCCTGATAACATGAGGCTGCAGTTCTGGGGGTAGGATGAGAGTTTTTGGCTGGTGTCCACTGCATCGAGGACTGGTGCATACTGGGGGAAGGCAACTGCCTGGGTGCATGCTTTGCCAGGAAAGTATTTTGGAGTATTTCATAGGCGAGAGGTCATGGGAGGAGAGACTTGTCTGGGATGATTTTATGTCCAGATAAAGACACTAGATTTTACACTAGAAGTAGTGTAGAAAAAAAAACCCTCAAAAATGGTGGTGTGTACACCCAAATACATACACATGTGCTTTTTATCTCTGCATTTGTATAGAGAGATCAGGGCACCCATATTATTGCCCACTTTCTATTTAGCACCCAGTCTTGAATACGTGAGTTATTCCTGTTTGTAGGGTCTTGGTTGTTCCCTTCTTGATCTGGCTTCATGTTCAAGTCAGTCTTGAAGTTTAGAGGGATTGGTTGTAGCATATTTGTTAGTTTTTGCCAGCTGATTAGATCATGTTAGCAAAAAAAAGGTAATTGTGAGTTCAGCTGTGGGCAAAAGGGAAGAAGTGTTGCTGCATTTGCTGGCTTCTCATAGGGAAGTTTGAGGAAGAAGTGTGATTTCGGTTGTGATGAAAACAGCCTGTGAGATACTAAACAAGTGTTTTAGATTCTACTTTTTTGGTCTAGATTGTGAGTTATTCAAGACTGTTGTTCCTCATATTTTTTCAGGAATGTATTTGTCCTGAAAATTGTGGGGTTTTTGTATGTCACGGCTAATTGCTGGAACTCAAAAGGTTGCAAATAATTAAAACTAACAGTAGCCTCCCACAAAAGTTTGAGTAGCTGTACATAATCACATTCCCTTCTGGATCTGAAACTCAAATCGATTAACAGGTAACACCCGTTCCTTATACCGCAGTGGGCTTAGTGGGGCTGCTTTGAGCTTTCATGGAGATGGTATGTCAGCTTAGCTCTTTTCGTCCAGACATGGCAAACTCTGTCAGAAGAAGATGGTCATTAAAAATCCTTAACTTCCCATTGTGCTGTCTGATATTGCTCTGAGACCTAATGCAAAATGAAACTATCAGCTCTCCATCTGCTGCAGCCTTAAGTCCTGTCTTTACAAGGGCGTTCAGCTGCTTTTGTTGGAGGAGGGGAAGGCCCAAACCACTTTTGTATTTCTCATGAAACCACAGACTGTTGCATGGGGACAAACATCTGGATTTGCAGATCTGTGCGGTGGTGGTGTGCTGCATTCTGAGACACGAGACCTTTTTTTAGCCTGTGTTGTTACTAGGCTTTGTGAGGCACGCCACATTGCTTTGGGAGCCATACGTGGCTTTTGAGCGACAGACTGACCCTCCCTGCTCTAGAGCTGTGTATTCAAAATTGCACCCTCATGAGTGTCTGGCAGTCATCTGAGGAAGCTTTTCATTTTGCAGTGTGCGTGGGTAGACGATGGGATGGCAAATGATCTAGGAAAGGGCCACACAGTAAATGGATGCTTTGCTTCTGTTGCAAGTGATGATCAAGTGGTGGACCTGAAGGTGCGGCATGGATCTGAATGGGGTGTTGGAAAATTGCTATGCCCAAAGTCAAAGCAAAATGTAGACTGCTTAACATCAATACAGCAGGGGCCTTGAGGATCACCCTGAGCTTGGGCTAAGAAAAAGGTGGCAGTGAAATTGCTGGACCAGTAAGGAAGAGTCTTGGTAAAGATGTCAGGTGAGGAACAACGGCAAGGCCCATACTCCAAAAATGAGAAGAAAAGTACCCGACAGCAACAGGCCTGTCAGTAGCATCTTAGTAAGATCTTAAAACAGATACAGAGGAAAGATCCATTGCAGATGTGAAGTCGAATGGGATGCAACATGGTTTTGCTGGCAGAAATGTCAAGACTAATGTCTCTGGTGCAGCAGTGGAGTTGTTGAGTAAAAGAGGCGCAACTTACCTAGCTGGTTTGAAGGAAAGCATTTGACAGTGCCTTGCAAGAAATTATTCCACCGGCTTGGAAAATCAGGAGTAACGTAAAGTCTTAGGCAGACAAGTGTTTTAGCTAGAAAGCAGGCTGTGTTGAAAGGGTGTCATGGGTGGAGGGAGCTGTTGATTGTGGGCTGTAGTGTCTGCTCTTGGCTCCAGTCCTGGGCTTGATACTGTAGCTGTTTTTAGTTGCCTTGCTTGAAGGTAAAAGTACTTAACCATGTTTTTTTGGCTGATCAAGTTCCGTGAGGTGTTATTCATAAATGAGATCAGGTCATGCTACAGGAAGGAGTGGGATATGGGCCTGCAATCACAAGTCAAAAGATCAATATGGCATAACAAGTTACCGCCTGCCAGGTGGGAGCTGTAGACAGACACATGCAGCTTTGCAGCTGGAAAGTGCATGTTGTCATTGACTGCGGTTCGGCTGATAGACAGTGACTTGTAACTTTGCAATAAAACAATTGCTTTTGATCTAATGCCCTTATCTTTGGAGGACCTTGTGGACTGAAGCAGTAAAAATGGGATGAAGTTTGATTCTAGGTGCAAAGGCTAGTAACAAAAGGCAATAGTGACAAAAATTTTCTTCTATGCAGGTGGCTGCAGGAAAGAGGGAGCTGGTTGTATTGGTTGATGCAAGGACATTTCTGTGTTCCTGATGGGCTTGATTATTAAAAAAAAGCTATGGTGATGCAAAAAAAAAAAAATAGGGAGAATGCTTTAGATAATGTCAAAGCCATATCAGTGGGACCTTCTGCCACATGTTGCTTTTCCCCTGGTCGCATTTGCCAGAGAGCTGAGCTGGAACAAGTGTAGAGGAGAGAGGTTCTGCTTTCCCCAGCTACTTTACCCAAGCCTGGGTTGGGGGATTAAAAGCCTTTGGCTTGTCTTATCCTAGAAATATGAAAAATTAGAGAGGGTGTTTTCTTTCTGATAAACATCAGGGTGGAGAAGTTGTTAGAGTTAAAGGACAAGGCTGAAACAGGACTAAAGCCATAAATGATCTACAGATGCCTTGGCAGTACCCTTGATCTTGCCTGTTCTCTTTCAGCAGATCGTTGGTTGGTTGTTTTTTTTTTTTTTTTCTCCTGTGGCTCTTGGCCAGATGTACTGAAGGTTTCCAAGTACATTATGGACTGTTAAACATGGTGTGTAATGCAGGAATAAAAAGCTGAACTAAGAAGGAAAGTTTTCTGCTCTAATACATAATGTATTCCTCTAATACATAGTGTAGCTCTTTGTGCCTTTTTCCTCCCTTGTGGCCTTATGTTATGATTTTTGTTTATAAAAGCTTCCTGTTCTCTTTGGTTAATTCTAGCTGTGTGTTGGGGAAGACAGTTCTAGGTACAAAATAATCACTACTGGCAGAGTTAGCAAGTGGCAGATCGGTGGGGAGAAGAGGACTGAGTAAAGAATGTTTCTGCAGAATTTTGCCAATGTGATAGAAAAGAGGAAAAAATGAGGTTGGGTGACTGAGCAACCAGCTGCGGCTCCAAGTAGTTTTTTCCAAGACTCGGCTTGAAAGTAAAGGTCTCTCCCAGCTCTGCAAGACTTTTATTTCATTTATTAATCATAAATCAGACCCTTCAACACTGTGGTTAAAATGTTGAGCTGCTTTAGACTCACAGATGTGATACTAGTGCTTTTTTATGTTCATGTTTAGAAATGTCTTCAGGGAATTTTTTTTCTCTGCCATCGTGAAGAGTCAAAACTTAATCAATAGTAAAGACTTTGTGTTTGTTCTTAATTCTGGGACATCAGGAGTTGATACTTCCAGTTTTCCTGGTAGTTCAAAGGCTGAGGATAGGAAGAATTTTGACCCTTTCAGCATTCTTTCTTTCAGGTGTTGTGTTGCTGCACACAACTTTGTCATGTGGCAAAACCTTCAGAGGACTAAGGTGCTAATGTAGGTGTTGGGGGAGGAACCATGCACAGCTAATGCTGGTTAAATTTCATTTCCAGGTGATGGAATACGAGAACAGGATCAGAGCCTACTCCACGCCGGACAAAATCTTCAGATATTTTGCCACTTTGAAAGTCATAAATGAGCACGGTGAATCGGAGGTTTTTATGACACCGCAGGATTTCGTGAGATCGATAACACCTAATGAAAAACAACCAGAAAGTAAGTGGTGTGTGTGTAGTAATTGGAGAAACTAATACAATGAAGGGGACTAAACTCTCCAGTCTCTGCTTACCTTATCTTTATATTTCCCATCAAACAGTTATGTTGTCGGGTATTGTCTGTCTTATTATGTTGAGGGGTACAGCACAAAAAGGGGGTTGCTCTCTAGGATGCTGCCACAGTCAAAAAAAGTGATGTTCTCAACTCACATGTTAGGGCAATGCGGCGATGTGCAGAGGGATAATGGAGATGTAACAAATGCAGGAGCAAGGCAGAAAGCTACCAGTGCAGCTGTGCAGGAGTCACGCTTATCTCTCCAGCAGAGCCTGCGTGTCCATGCCAGCTTGAACCCAGCTGACTGGCAGCAGCACGGTGGTGCCAAATAACAGTGATCATTCAGGTTCAGGAGTGTTGGTCACGGTATGCTTCTTGGGAGCTTTGAACCTGGGATTGCTGGGGCTAGAAAGCACCTCCTGAAGCTATGTATTCCATCTCCGTGCTCCAAACCCAAAATTAGCCTAATCCCTTCCATGTTGCCTGAAGTGCTATTGCAGCATAGTAGATCTTGTTGGTATAAGCCTTTGAAGAGCAGATGAGATTACTTTCTTGGATATTTACGAGTGAAAGATTACCTTCAACTGAAACATTTAAGAACTGTTCGTAAACCTTCAAAAGGAAGATGTTTTGACAAGGAAGACCCTAGCAATAAAGGGGTCCAGGCAGCCCTGTGTGTCTGGCTGAGCTGTGATGCTGCTGGCCAGGGTGGGACTCACCTCTGCTGGCTTCAAATTCTCTGTGGATTGCAGGGAAGCATGTCAGCTGTGGTGCCTGTGGGGTTTTGGCAGACAACAGGCAGGAGAGCAGACACTGTTTTTCCTGGTCTGGAAAGCTGTGTCCTGAGCATTTGGCAAGAGGTTGGTTTTTGTGGGGTGGCAGGAGGATTTTGCCTGTCTTCTGTTTTGGAGGAGATCTGTGTTTTGGGTGAGACATGGGAAATCAGGCTTCTTGGTCTCCCACAGTGTATCTCAAAGAATGAAACAGGCTTTTGTCAAATTAAAACTTCTCTTCTCTCTGCAGGCATTAATGAAGAACCTTAGCCCCCAAATGTTAACTTTTGGAGAGTGGGGTTTATGTACAAACTGTGAAACTGTTTTGATATCTTAAGTGACAGCTGCTAAATAAATACCATGTACGCTTGTGCTTAGAAAACAACAATATGAAGTGTGTGCAGGAGAGGAGAAAAAATAATCCTGGCATTAGTGTTAAAAACATGTTGGTGAATTGATATTTAGGTTTTCATCAAGTCCTGAAAATGGCTGTAGTTTTCATATAAATTACATGGTTCCATCTTCAGTGAGGAAGTGTTTTGAGCAATAAACAGAAGATAATGTTTATAGATGCTGAAATTGTGTGTTACCATCTTATCTATCTAAAGCTCCTTGAACTGGTAATTTGAAAAGCAGTAGCACCTGGTTGAGTGTGAGTCACTTTTTTTTGTCAGCTATCTTAAAAATAGAAAACATCCAATGTTTAATTTCAACACATCTGATTCTCTTTTACTTCTTCCATGCAATATATATGCTTGGTGCATTTTAAAGTGTGCCCAGAAAATAGGTGGAAGAGTGCTCAGAAAACACCTACTTTGGAGACAAGGTGACTAATGGGAAATAATTTGTCAGTCTTAGCCACTAACTTTCTGCTGTAACTATTATTATCCTGGCTAGGTGAGCAGCTTAAATGGCCCTGTGAAGCCTGTCATGCCTTTAAGTGCCTGCAAATACTGCCAGTCAGTGACACAAAGCGGCCTATAAGGGAAGAAGATTGCCTTAGTGATACTTACAGGTGCTCTTGGAAAGTGGAATGAGATGGAAATTGAGCTTTGGCTGCCTGTCAGGGGGCAAAGCAGGAGCATGGGCATCTTGTATCTTGTTGGTTTGAAAATCTGTCTTGAGGACTGTTACCATCGTGGACTTGCTTCCAGACAAAGCTACTGCTAGGATGGTTGTTCCTTATGAGTACTGTACATCATGACAATCATGGTGAATGGTTTTTTTAATACATAATGAACAGTAGAAGAGTAAAACACTTAATGCTACAGTAAAGTCAAACCAGCCATAACCTTGTTCCTAAATATTTTAAAAGCTGGTAGTAAAAAAAAAAAAAGGTCTGATTCTAAACCCAGAAGTTAAAGACAAAGACTGCTACCTGCTGGCTGGTTTATTTCTGTACTTTACATCTGTTTGATACTTCTGACTCATAAAATAATCTAGATTATAGATTAGCAGGGAAATGCCAGGGCTGCTTTCTCCCTTAGTCATGACTCGGGTGTGCCCTCCACCAGGGCTGGAGCATCCTGCCTTCGTCTCAGGGAGCTTCTTCCTTTGCGTAGTGACGTAGCCCCAAGTGCTCCTTGGAAATCACCTTCAGGTAGTGACGTAGCCTGCTGTAATCATACTAGCTAGGTAGGTTAATGCTTGAACTGAATTATGGATTACTTTCTACAGTCCTACTGGCCCCAAGGTTTTCCATGAGTGGTATTTGTTGATAGGTTTGTGTGGCGAAGCAATCGCCTTCTGGTCCTGTGAATTAATATGGTCCTGCATAAGCAGTCCAAGACATGAGCAGGGCAGGGGATGCTCTGAATGCTCAAGATGCTGGTCCTAATTTTAGTGAGTAACTTCTTGTTAATGTGTCTGCTATTTTATGGTGAGAAAATACTGTGGAATATAAGTGATATGGAGTAATGAGGTATCTAAGTCCCTGTTGTATTTATTTTTAAACCGCTAATCTACTGCGAGGTATCGTATGCCTGATTCATTTTTATGGATTACATAGGGGAAAGTTTGATTTATTGTCAGTAAAGCATCAACTGAATTCTAGACTGCGTTTTGCTGGCTTGGGGAAAATAAAAGCCAATTCATTAGCTCCTGTAGAGTGCTTTCTCTAAAGCAAATAAAGTTCAGTAAAACTTTATGCTGTAGCTTTCCCCAGTAGGCAAGCTGTGCTTAAGGTGTGACAGTCTTGCTGAGCTTGGAAGTGTCTGTCAGAATAAGCCAAAGAATGGCATTAAACTTGGAAGCTGCTTTAAAAAAAAAAAAAAAATTTTTTTTATATGCTATCTGGAAAGTCCAAGCGCCAACAGAAGCGTGGGCAGTGATATCTGCTCCCTGCAGTCCTGTGGTGTTGTTTCCTCCCACTCCTCCGGTACCCAAGAAGTAGCTTGTCTCCAAGGCTGGATGAGCAGGGACGGTTGCTTTGTACCTGGCGCTTGCTTGGTACCCCAGCCCCAAACCAGCTGAAAATACTACCCCTCAGTCACCCGTGGGAAAGGTAAGTGTTTGCAAAAAAAACATTTTAGATGTAGCTCTTTGAAGACAGCATGGGCGTTTGCTGAAAAAGGTGTATGAAGCCATGACACTTCACAGGAGCCGTAACCGTGCCTGATACTTGCAGGACGTTGCTGCCGCGTTCTCTGTAGTCCTATGTAGCTGTTGGCCTACATAAACGTTTCCAAGTGCTTGGACCTGCTTGGTGATGGCCTGCCAAGTGCTTCTCCCTTTCCTAGCCTCTGAGTTCCCTCCATTTCCCCAAGTTTCTCTGTTTCCATTCTGCATTGATTGTTTTCCTGCGGGAAGCAAGTACTTTGGGGCATCCTGGACTAAAAAGGAGCTGTGGCACACTAAGCCAGTACCAGGGTTTTTCTGAGCCTTTGTAGTAAGGATTAAAAGAAGTAAAAAAAGGCTTCATATCTCATCACAGCACATGAAGACAGGTTATGCCCAAACCAGTCTTGCTCTTCAATCCCAGTGTTAACCTCCCTGGTTAACCCAAACTCCTGCTGCATGAAAGATGCCTTTCAAGATCCACCACGCTCTGCAGCAGCTCACATATCTGAAGTCTTGGAAATGCCCTGGAAGATTGGTTGGGTTTTTTTGGTAGGGTTTTTTTGTTCAGTGTTTTTTTGTCTGCAAGAAACCACAAACATGCTGTCGAAGCTCAGCCAAAAGCAGCAGCTGTGCCCCTGCAGCCTCTGCATGCAGGACAGTGTTGGAGGAAAGGAGCTGTGAAGGACAGAGCCGATATCTGGTGACTTGATCGGACCATATAGCTTGATTCTCCGTTTTTAAATGTTGGGGGTTTTTTATGTCTGTACTTCGTGAGCAGCTGAGTACCAGCTGGGTTCTGGATTGTTGCAATGCTTGAGTGATCATTTGTTATTTTGAGTTAAGTTTGTAAAATACGGACCTGATCTTCTGCAGAACCAGCAGTCATGAGCTGTGACAAGTGCTCACCTGGTCTGTTGGGGAGGGCTATGACTCCCTAGGCTTGTACAGATCCCTAAACTTGCGCAAAGTGTTCGACTGGGATATTTAAGACCCAGAAGGAAACTAGCGATGCTGAGCTTGCCTTCTGGTTTTTGATGGGGACTTATTTCTGTGTTCTCCCCCAAATACACCTGCTGGAGAGGTCTTCAGGGAAAGGCTGTGAGTAAGAAGGGGAGGCAACTAGGTGGTTATCTCCCAGAACCAGGAGGGTGAATAGATCTGGGGTTTTTTTCTGTGAAAATGTCATTCCTAAGCAAGGATCAGGAACCTAACCAAGGAGGAGCAAGCGAGAGGTGCATTTGTGTGCATGCTTATGTGATAGTCATCAGAAGAAACAAATAATTAGGGCTTCCAGTGTAGATGACGGGTTGGTATGGCTGTTCAACACCCTCTTTTCCCCATTGTGGCAGGCAGTGAGTGTCAGTAATTTTGATTTATTTTGAAACATTTTTATTTTTAGAGTGCTGTGAAAGTACCATCAAATGAATAAGAGTGGAGCCTTTATTCTTAGTATTGGTGAGTAAGTGGTGTCAGTCTAATCTGAAATAACACTTATAGTGATGCTACTTGCTTGGCTACTCCATGGCAGTGCTCCTGTTTCTTTTGGTCCCCTGATGGTACTTTAGGTGGTATCAGAATTTGTAGGAGTAATACATAGTGGTACTTAAAGTTTACAAGCAAGCTGGCTATGGCGAGCACATTAGGAAATCGTTGCAGGTCACCATTGGCGCTGCGGCTGGTGCAGAACCCTTGACTGCTTGAGCAAAAGGGGCTTAGATAATCCAGGTGTCTGGTGAAAGGTGAGGTGTTGTATAATGTTTCATGCAAGTAAAAGGCGTATTCTGGGGCAGGTCGTGATGAAAGCTCTGGGTTGGTTTGAGCAGAAACAAGCACTGAAGCCCAGCTGCTCTGGGTGGTCAGTATGCAATCTGGAGTAGCCGTGGTGCACGTCCTGCTGACTTCGGTCCCGGGGAGGCTTCGTGAAGCAGCCAGGTATTCTCCTGAAATGATTTCTGGATTTCACTGCCATCACTCTGGAAGGAAATCCTTTAATTCATTTCTGGGAGAATGGTATTTCAGCCCCTGCTTTTCCGTGAAAAGTGGAAAAACTCTTTTTTTCTGTTAAACATGCCTATTAGCTTGTGTTCCTGCAGCTCGTCAGCAATAGCCCAGCCAGGGGATATTTGTTTTATGAGTGTATCACTTACAGACAATCCTGCGGTATCTTTAACTTAGCACACTGCCTTTTGAGTAACAGAGATGTAATAACTAACATTCTTTCCTTTCCTTGTTCAGATGTGATTGTCCTCATTTGTGCAGTGTTTCCATTAGCTCTCCAGCCTACACAGATGCTGAATTCTTGTTGTAACGTCCTGGAGGAAAAGCCTTTTGGGTTTTTTATGTAATGTAAAGAAAGAAGAACACAGGCATCAGGCAACAGTCCCTCTTTTTTCTTGGTTTCCTTTTGTCAACTTGTAAGGTTAAAGACTTGTGGAAAAACATGTAGCTTAGTCCATAAAAAAGAAAATAAACTGTATTGGAAAAAGGAAAATGTATTGAGTAAAACTGTATGCCTTGAATATATAAATGCTCTTTTTCAGCGTTTGAATTGGCTTATTCTGTTGGGAGCTACGGTAAGGGGAATTTTATAGAGGGACTTAAGCGTGCAGCTAAGTTAATGCAGCAGAGCAGAGGGGATATCGTTGTGCATGGCTGGGAGAAAGGGTGAGCATGAAACACTGATGTGAACCAATATGCTCGTGCCTGCAATAGGTAACGCTGTCTTCCAGGGCGTGCTGATACAGTGACGTGAAAAAAGGCAGCAGCAGAAGCGACAAATTTTTGTGCTGCATTTTCATATAAATGTCTTTCCCCGATCTCCGAGACATGCATAAACCAAGCTTATATATTTGCTTCTTGTCAGATGTGATTGTGTCGAAGGAGGCTGGCATGATATAGGTAACAATAACTACATTTCTGTAACAGCTACAGTGCTGTAAGCAGTTTCTTCAGCAGATAATGAAATGCTCGGAGCTCTTAAGCTTGAGGACAGACCTGGCAGCTTCTACACCTGGCATGAGGGTTTGGATGCAGTTACAGAAAAGCTATGTGTATGTCAAAGTCCATCGCTCTGTCCTGTGCAGGAATAGTCTCAGGTTGCCCAGATGTTTTATTTTCCTGTGCCTTTTCGTTACATGCCATAGCAATTGAGGAAACACATGGAAACAAACATCTCTGTGCTTAGGTGAATGGGGCTGGACCAAACCCCAGTCTGGAGGCAAATTACCCTGTATTCAGAACTCCTGATTTCACCAGTGTGTTTTTCTTTTGTTGACTCCATCACTATTGTAATCTATTGCTGTTAACTCTTGTTCTTTTTAGTCCCCTCCAGTCATACCCCACTTCACCTCCCCTTTTCCCCACCTCATGTTACATCTGTGGAGAGCACGAAGTTTATATTACTACCTTTTTCCTTTAGCATAGGTACTGGTATTCTGCCTTTTTAGGTGTCATTTGATTGTTTTTAAAAACTTTTCTGTATGTACATACAGACTCATATATATATAAAAAATTATTCTTTATCTATGTTATACAGATATATATTTATTATTTATATTTAGAAATATATGTACTATTTCTTTTTTATATGTATCTAAAAGAAAACAGTTGTTAGTTCATCTTTTCTTGCTGTTCATCTGCATGAGCATCCATTCATTTTTGGGTCGTCTTTGAAACCTGTTCGCTTTCCCAGGAGCAGTGTCCGGCTGGGAGGGGTTGCCATTAAGACATACTTTCATTTGCTATTTTTAACCTGTGTCCTTTTTTAGCTTTCCATGAGTACGTGTGTAATGTCGGGCTGTCAGAGATATGTCTTACAGCACTATTTCCTGGCATGGGAACAGGAGGTGTGCTTGAGAAATTACTTTTATCACAATACATTGACATAAAGCTAAGCTCAGCTTAGCGGTCAGCATCCAGATGGATGGTCGGGGTGAACTCTGACCAGATAACGTCTCTGGTAAAATAAGCACATTTATTAAATGAATCCTGCCTCTAAATGTGACATTACTTACTGTACTGCGTTTATACCCACAACTTTGAGGAGGACAAAATTCTTCAGAAGATGATTGAAGTCTGAAAATGTGTATGAATATGCAATTTTCACTCTATTGTCAGGCACGCAAAATATTGAGAAGGTTCTTTCTGGCTTGAATATTCACAAATCCAGAAGGCCCTCTGACAATTGCTGTGACCTTTGAAATTGGGTGATGGAGGAGTTTTAGCTGCTTTGGTTCAGAAGGGTCGAAGGGGTCATCCTGGAGCAATGAATAACTCCATTTTCTGCACCATAACCATTAAGAACCTTTCCAGTACACGGGAAGGGTTTTATTATCCTCCTTCACAAGCAGGTGACGCAGCAGGCGTGGGAGAGGTTTATTTTGGTTTTTTCCATCTTTTTTCTAATTTAAATTGAAATGAGGGTATGATAATTATCATAAACAGTAGCAGAAAATGCATGGGACGTAGCTCTGCTGAGGGGTTTTATTCGTCACAGAACTGAAAATTGGCCCGTGCTCTCCTGAGTTACTGGAAGTGCTCGGTTTGAGTTCTGCTTATTGTCCGCTCAGGGTGCATCTTCCCGACCTTGGATTGCAAAGCTCAGATAATTAATCTTCCTGAATATTTTTGTCATCTTGCTTATATGTGCATTCATCAGTGTACGTATGGCCTGCCGGGCATTGTGGATTAGATTGAGAGCTCTGTGCCTTAACTCTGCAAATGCTGGGATTTTTATCTTCCCCCCCTCTTCAGGATAGAAAAAACATTTTGTGATGGTATGAGATTGAATTTACTGGTATAAAAAAATCCCTCTCCCTGGCTTTCTCCAAAATACCCTTCAAGCTAAAGCACTTGCCTTCTTACAAATGCAGCTACAACTTATCTCCTTTAAAACCTATTTACTAGCAATTTTATACTAAAATTTGAACAAGTTTTGGATTTATTTGGGGATCTCCCAATTAATTATGGGAACAATTCTTTGTTTTTCCATTTGTGGGCCATTCAAAAGGTGTTATCAGAAACAAAATAAGAGTTTTATGAACATGCATGAACATGGGGCATCATGGGTGAAATGTTTGCTTGGTAGTAGTGCAGAAATCTTCTGCTTTGGGATGGATGTTTCAGGCTCTTGAGAGATGCTGGGAGCTGTGCTCCTATTGCCACTGCTAGAAGGAGGTTTTCTTCTCTGATGCCATGAGTTTGTTGTGTTTCATGATCAAAATACAAAGTACAAAATGCAGGAAGCCAAAAAAATTTTCCTTCTCTGTCCTTATACTTTCTACTGATGTTATTCAGACAGTGCATTTTACTTCGTAATCCCCTCTCAAACAGAAAACCCAAGAAATGCTAACTTTTACACTCTAAGAGCATTTTTCTTGAAGTATCTTTTTTTTTTCTCTTTCAGACCTGGGCCTGGATCAGTTTATAGTGAAACGCTACGATGGGAAGGTGAGCACATAAGAGTATTAAGTGTGTCTTATTCAATGGCTTTTTTAACCTAGAGTCCTTTAGTTATTACCTGCATGTGGGTGTAAGTTAAATGAAGTATTTGAAGTATTCTCTTCTGAGCTTTTTGTTGTTTAGTAGCATTGCAGTACCTTTTACATAATGACAGTGAATGAGAAATTTTTTTTAAAGGGGTTTTAATGTTTACAGGCAAAATATTACCTCTTCCTATATACTAGTAGGCCAGGAAATTATAGGTTGTAATCACGTTTCCTTGCTGCTTCTTTATGACTCCGAGAGCTCGATGAGCTATGCCGTTTTGGGGAAAACTTACTTGACCTTTCCCTTCCAGACTCATCTCCAGATTCCTGAAGGAAGGAGACGCTCTTGTGTTTATCTGCATCCCGAGCATGTATTTCCCCCCTATCAAACACCCTTACTCCGTTCCCCTTTTGAACCCTAGGTCCTTCCTACAGCGATACACGACTGTTCTGGATGTTTGTGCTGTCACGATACGTGTTGGTAAAATGTTGAGCATCCTCTGATCTAGTTTTGTCTGCCTGTGTAAGTGGAGCCGTGCAGCATCTTACCTGTTGTTATGCAAATCAGCAACCCAATTAACCACACCGTAAATCCCACTGGTATGGAGGAGTACGGTAAAGGCAGCTCTGGCCCTAGGACTAGCAGCTCATATCGACTTCTTGATGCAGATAACTGCAGATTGGTTCATTTTCTATCATATCACCATGGACACATGGTACTCCAGCTTTTAGCAATACTTTCATTTCACCTGCATCATCTGAAAGTAAAGCTTCTGTTTTTTTCCAAAGGGAGGTCAGCATCTGATCCCTTCATTGCTGAGTGATGTACCTGACACAGTGTCAGGCATTTCCAGAAAGCCCTGACACTGAAAAAAATGTATTTAAAGCTTTATATAAACACAGTGTGGGCTGTACATGTGCAGTTCGCTGTCTTGTTTTGTGTTTAGTAGGGAAAGGTAAAGACAGAAGGTGATCAAATACCTGGCGTCCCTGTCATTGGTGGCATACAAGTGTTCTGGTTACCCAGGCAGCAAAGCGAGATTTTGCTTGAAAACAGACAATTGGAAGGTAGTATTTTGCAGTTAGTTTTGATGCATAAAACTACGAAGTGTGTTGTGAACACTTGTTTTCTTCTCCCCCTGCCACAAACCCAACGTCTGCTTTTCATGATTAAAAAAAAAAACCCACAAACAAAAAAGTACATATATTCTTTGCAGAATATCAAATGTTTCTCCCTCTGATTTATGACAGTCTATTTTGCATCCGCTCACTTTCATCATTTTATCTTGTCAAGCTATCACACTCATCCCTTAGGCTTTACATAAACAAGATTTGTTTGTAGGGAAGAAATGCTGAATCCCACACTACTTCTGCTAATCATTCCTCTGTTCCTGAGCACTCCGCAGTCGGTTCCTATCACATTGGATAAAAGATTCAAAGGCAATCCCTTTGCTGAACTCAACTTTCTGTTCCTCTGCCCCTCAGCACTGAGGACTTGAATTGCACTGCATTTGGATGTGATGGACACGGTCACCACACAGGGGTGTTGAAAACCCATAGTTGGTGTTTGAGGTACCATGCTCGACCGTGCATCGTCATCCAGGCTCTTAGGATCTTGCCATTCAGCGTGGAGAAGGGTGGAGAAGAGATAGCCTTTGCCTTATGTGCTAACCACCTTTCGCTCTGACGTGTAGCAGAGTGAAATTGCTTTTTATATAACTTCGAGATGTCGGTGCTGCACTTGGATGTCTACATGCTGTAGTCTGGATAGTCTGAAAGTGAGGGAGCAGATTTAGGGTACTGCAGTGGACTTTTCTTTATTGTTATCTTCTCCTGGGACCTATTTTTTCCACAGTCTAATAACACCCTAGAAGCAATTTGCTCTGAAAATGAAGAAATAGAGGTTCTTGTTTGCTAGGCTGTCTGCTTAAAGACACCTTGGGACTGGCTAAATCTGGCTGTGGCTGTTAGGGTACTGGTAATGTCCAGGTGAGAGGATAGTTCAAGGAGAGTATAAAATAAGTTGGCCTCGGCTCTCCCTTGGTAATGAAAGAAGCTGACAGTAGATTGATCTGTCTGATAGCATCTTGTTCTCCTTTTATTGCTTGCTTTGGGTTTCAGTTTAAAAAACAACACTGTTTTCACTCAGTCAAGCACCAGCTGAAGTGCTGCAGAGCTGACCTTACTCATTCGAGTTGCACTTGCATAGTAGCACTGGAGGGATAAAACCCTCTTGCATGTCTTCCTCCTTGCCTGTTTCCAACTACGTATTCCTCTTGGGTTATCAAAGCATCCTCTACCTGGAGACGACTTTCTGGCGCTTTCCTTTTGTGCATTGGCGGAGCTGATGAGCTCAAGCAGAAGGGTAAGAGGTCCATCGTTCCCCGAAGCATCCTTACGAATGTCACGCAGAGGTAATAGGACTTGTGGTACAAATGTGCGCTCAAAAAGTAATAGGCCTGTTCACTGGAAATTTCCTCTTCATTTTTAAGGTGAAAGGAGTTTGTGAGCAGTCAGACACAAGCAAGCTGTGGTACTGAAAAGTACTGACAATCTGCAGGCTAGATCCTGGCTGAAGAGTAGAAAAGAGAATTAATTGTAGTTCCAAGCAAAGATGTATACCCAGGGTTGCGTGCAAGTAATAATTTAGAAAGAGATTCGGTTAAAAGAATAGAACCAGCTGTGCAGTCAGTTGCATTTTAATTACATATTATAGGACAATGTTTATCGGTGTGAATTTTGAGCATGTATGTTTGAGATTTAAATGCTACAGCATTAGTAAGCAGCTGCTCTTTTCACAGAACCAATTTTATTTACATAAAACTACCATCAAAACAACTAATTGGCTGTCGTGCAGTGATCGGGACTGGTCTTGCCAACGGATTTTGTGATGTGCCTCTGTATTGTAACTGTGTCGGGTTTCTGAAGCATCTTGCTGTGCGTTTGATTGAATGCTATGGTGAGAAGACAATACCGGCTTTTTTTTCCTCTTCCTGCCCCTCCTTCTTCCTAGTGATAATTTATAGAGTTGATGGAGAGGGAGGTAAATGTTACTGCCTTATTAATGAGAAGAATGCTCCTGTAATTTGAGCCTAAATGCTTTTTCTTTACTCATTGCGAGACCAAAAACCCTGGAGACATTCATCCAGCAAAAACCATTGGTCAGATCTGTTTGCCAACATGAACTCATACTTTTCTTTGACCTGCTGCTGGGCTGAGTGTGTAGGGAGGCAACTCTGTCCCTGGCTCCATTTTTGTCTAAGCGTGGTGGTTTCTCCCCCAGGGAAGCAAGCTCTGGAAAGTAGAGGAAAAGAAGCATTGATTACTATTCATTCAAAGTAGAAAAAAAATATTAATCAGTCTGCAGATATTTCAAAGTGTTCATGTTCAGCCTGAACAAAAGGCTGATGTGAGAATAGGCTGATGTGAGAATAGACACAATCTAATGTGTAGCTCAGGGTGCTGCGGCGTGAAGTGTCCAGACCACAACTGTTCATTTGCTCTGTTTCCACTGTGTCTCTTTCCTCCTCTTGCATTTTGGCGGTGGGAAAGCAAATGCTTTTTTAACGCATCTGTAGGAGAAATATCTCATGTTGACCCTTCTCTCGTCCTACCATCTTGAAAAGCATGCTTCTGGTTAGGAGGAGTGAAGTCCTATTTAATTTAAGATGTGCTGTTCCCCTGCTGCGTAATGTTTGTTAGTGCTTAAGAAAGGGTGCTTTTGAGAGTGATGTGGAGATGTTCTTTGCACATCTGATTTTCCAACTGAGGCATTGTGCTGTTTCATCGCTCACTGCTTGCATCTTGCTTAGCAAGATGATAGTGATGAATAAGCTCTCACTAAGTAGAAGTATCTTGGGACATATAATGTCGCATGAGCGTCATTAATGTTACATAAGTTGTAATACAGATTTTGTTTAAAATTTTCTTTTTTCATGCCCTCACTGTTTACTTGATGGTTTTTTTGGCTTATGCATTAATGATTGACAAGCTTAATCTCTCAAAGAAAAAAAGAAGCGATGCTGTTAGTGGTGTTCCTCTAAAGTGTGAGCTGCATATCCACCCTGTTTAGAGCAAAATCACTCCCTGTCACCTGGGTCCTTTGGTGTGGTCCCTGTCCTGGTGAGCCAGTGCAGGGGAGCTCTCAGGTGTCCCGCAGCTGAGCTTTCAGCACTGCAGCCTGATGTAAAGGTGGGAGCAGAGGCAGAAAATGGATGTGGTGGGTGCACAGCATAGATCTGTCTTTGTGCGGTTGGGTGTTCACACCGAAGGTAAGCTGCAGTGCTTTTAAGAGACCTCTAGCCTATTTAGGGAAAAAAAACCAACCCTAGATGGCTTATTAGTTTAATACAGAATACACTTGACTTGCTCTTGTTGTTCTCCTGTGGGGAAAATTTCTTGCTACTGTTTAATACGAACAAAAGCCTTCGAGCTACCAGCAACAGCTTACCCTCCTGCTACCATTGCTGCAGTAAGTAATTATGGAGTCTTTCAATGCCCTCTAATTAAATTTATGAATTAAGTATTTCCTGCCAGCATTTATATTTACATCTCTAGATGTTTTGGGATGCCTGAGAGTAATGCAGAGCAATAGCAAAATGAAGGAAAAGGAAAATACTTCAGATGGTTTCTGTGCCTTTTCCTTGAGGGGCATTGTCCCTCTCTGGTTAGCAAGAAGTCAGTCCCTGCCAGAGGCAGTAGCGTTGCTTGTAGCCAAGAGGGTCTGCAGATGTTCAATTCAATTCAGTCTTCATCACTTCACAAAAGGAAAGGCAGTTTGTACTTAAGCATGCCCACATGTTCTGGCTATTAACTTACATTACAAGTTCGTTTTTCTGTTTTATTCTGGCAATTTGTTCAAAACTACATGTGCTTTTGTGTTGGTTTCTTTGATGTCCTCCATTGAGCTTGAAATGTAGGAAGGGAAGAATCAGGTAAGGGCCAGGAAAACATCTGAAGCTC